TGTTAGATTCTGTGTAAAGTATGAACTTGTGTTTAATGAAATGGAGGATATGACTCAAAGGCAAGTGTTCCTATTTTAGTTCACATACTCTCATATTATGAAAACACAATAATAACTATGGACCTAAGCATTAACAGAGTACCATTTCTTCCTACACCTTAGGATGTTCAGCTATGGACTACTCCAGTATTGCCAAATAAGAAACTTTTCAGGCAGCAAAATGAAAGACAGGATTAAGCACAAGGTTAAACCATCATCACCCACTGGGTGTAATGATAGTGACACTGTAAAACCAAAGCTCTTTGCATGAAAGGCTTAGCTTCTCCACATGGGACACTATCATATGACCAAGTGTAATACAAGACAGTCTTGCCATGACTCTGAACCTTAATCATAATTAAACCACTGCCACAGAGATATTTCTACTTATTACTGGAATTAGAGTATGATTTAATACCCCTGACATCACTTGACTAAACTGCCATAGTATTAGTTTTATTAAAAAGTGGGAACTCAGGTATTTACCAGGCAAATTTAACCACACAATTTTTACTATACTGAAAATAAAAGCTATCCACAAACATTATTATTGAAAGACAGCATTATAACATTACTCCTAAGAACATGGAATTGCTTTGGAAGCTGTAATTAAAAACATAGGACAGAACAGAATATTCTGTTTAATTTTACTAAATAAAAAGGATGACCTTCAAAACAGTGATTTACAATTTTTCTACAGCTCCTTGATTTTATAAAGCTATCACTTTGTGTTATGTAACATATATTGATACTACTTATTAATGAGGTGTAGAAATTAGGCAAGCATTTACTTAACTTCATAAACATGTATCAGAAGACATAAATATTATATTTCTGTCTGGTTTTAAACCATTGGAATCATTGCATAGATTGATCCACAGTGTATAGTAGGCTTTCTCCCTAGAGCAGTTCTAACACTCCACTAAATATATGCTATTCCTCTTTATCTCTTTGAAGAAAAATGAATCACATCCACAGCTTGCAGCTATCAAAATTTGATTTATCAAGCATTTACATGAGTGCTTTTTTCTCCTTTTATACACTAGGAGGCACATTTTTCCTTCATACAGTTCTATTGCACAGCTTTGCCACATGAAACCCTTAGATATGTTAACAATTCCAGTCTAAATTTAAGTCCCTGACAACCTTTACTAAACCACAGAGAAAGAAGAATTCTTCACTAATAGGGTGGGTTGTTTTTTCACATTGATGAAAAACACACTTGTAGTAATGAAAAATAGCTTTCAGCACCTGACTGCTGGCAAACAAAAACAGTTTTCTTTAGAGTGATTACTGAAGAAATAATTCACTTCAAAATACATCAGAGAGCTGTACACTTTTAATGGAACTGATGATAAAGATGTTTGTGTTAAAAGTGTACTTGCTGATACGCACATTTAAAACTATTAAAAAGCAAAAATTTTGGTAATAACAGATGCTATAAAGCAGTAGAACTAAATACTATTTTATACAGAGGGGTTTTTTTAAGATCCTAAAGAAACTGGAATGTTTTCTACATTCTTATCTGATATACTAAAAGGTAAAGAACTTGACTCAGATGACAGATCTTTGGAATATCTTCCTTTACTTTTTATAGGAATCAAGCGTATCAAGTTGCAACTGAGACAAACATGAACTATAAGGGAGCTGCAATTGACAGGTTAACATCATACTCCTCTGACTATCAGTAAATACTGATCAATTAACAATAGTGAAATGGACAACATATCTTAGTAAAATAAATATAACCCTCAAGTTAAAATAAAAGACTCTAAATAAAGAAGACAGGTTTGAGTAACGCAAACCAAACTTGGGCTTACATATCATTATAAAGGACTTCATATTTCTATCTTGTTGCCTTTTCCTTATAACCACAGTGACAGTGTGGGGCTGACAGTGCTAGTATTTGCCTTCTCTCTTCATTTCAGTTTCCCCCGGTGTGAGAGATTTCTGTTTTCAGATTAGCTAGGTAAATGTACTCTCACTGTGCACGTTTATTTCATTAAATCATGTAATCGTACTTGTGTCTCTGTAGAAGCTGATGACTGCAAGCAAATATAACAGTAAGTTTTCTCATATCTTTGTATAGCAAGTTAGCAAGACTTTTAGCTCATTTCCCCCCACCCATATTTCAGGTTTTGAAGACCTGGGCCCTGGTCTATTAAAATAGCAACATATTAATACTGAGAAACAACGGCTGCATTTTTATTCATGTAAATTCACAGTGTACAATAATAACCCACACAATTCACTGAGCATTAAAGCCATTAACCAAAATTGCTCTCAGCATGAGACAAGGACTTTACTATCAAGATTAACATCACATTCTCATGAGCTGAAGCAAACTTTTACCTAGAATTAACTTTCATAGAAATACAGTGGAACAAATCTGTATTTTTGTGTAGAGGTCATTAGCAAACATTCCCATAAACACTGTTCTTTCTCTTCAGTTGAAGTATTTAAAATAGAAATATTGTTCTGCAACATTTATCTAAAATTGGTAGCAGTACATGTACATGGTAATACTATGTCTCTTCACTATGATTTTTTCCTTACTGTATAGTTGTATATTTTACCTTAGAATAACCCAAGTATTTTCATAAACAGCAATTCCTTAAACAGCCACTGAAATGAAACTACCTCTACAGTTAAATACAACTACTGAACATTTCACTGCAATAAAACTAGAAATTCAGCTTAGCAGTGTCAAAGAATACAATGTTCAAATGATATTACACCGGTTATTTTAATTATGAATGCACGTAAAAACCCACAAAGTAACTTTGCCCAACACCAGACAGCATTTTTCTCTTCTGAAAATTGCCACAGGATCTTCAATGACCATAAACTACTTTAAACTCCATTTCACATCTCATCCAAAAACTTGTGCATCCAGTAGCAAAATAACTTTTGACACAATGCCTAGGCAACAGCTTGATACTAAATAGGATATAAAAGTCAAATCCACCTAATAAGCACCATCACTCCCATCCTGGACAGGGTTTTCCTAGGATGATTTCTGTCACAGTAATGACCATATCATTCTCTTCTTAGTTTGTGAGATTTTTTGAGATGTGGAATGCACTATTTCAATTTCTGATAAAAGGCAAAAATTCTATACTTTAATACTTCACTAATCATCACTACAGCTTGATGGTTAGATCTTCATAAATTTGACAAGAATTTAGCATCCCTAAGGCTAAACCAGGTGTAACCACAGACATATTAAAACTTTTCATATAGCTTTTAAGAACACTTATTCTGACTAATCATCTATTAGCATCTATATTAGGCATGAAAAGTTGATCATGATTAATATACTATGTTTGCACAGTATGCTTAACAAAAATTTCTAAAACCACCTTTTTAATAACTTGCTATGAAGTTTACTAAGTCCTTTTTTCCTAACTCTCCTAGAGGATTTTTATGCTGCATTTTGAAGAGATGCGCAATTCAGAGTCGGTGAAGCTAATGTGACAGTGGTAACACTCAGTGCTGCCTGAAAACTCCTCTCTGATCTTGTTAAATCTTTCACAAGTCTCATACATGGTCAGAGAATTAACTGGATAATTCCACTTAAGCTCTTCACTTGCTTAAGCAGACATACATTCTTGCTCCAGAGTCGATCCATTCATAGTTGCTATTCTTTTATCATTCCTTGTATTTCTACAGATTAAGGGTTTGAGATCATAGTTCCAACAACATTTCTGTTTTGGTAAAGAAAATAATATGCAGGTGTCGTATCCAGGGAAAAAAAGAAAAGGAAAAATATAACAGGGGAAAATAAACCAGAATGGACAGTAAAGCATTTCAAAATGTTTCTTTGCAGGTTTCATCCAACACAATCTCTTGGTCTTCCCATAAAAATATGAGAAAAATATTTCCAAAGTCAATATTCCACAGTTCACGTTCTCATCTGCCATGATGTAAATGCATAATTCAGATCAGCTCTGCCCAAATGAGAAGATGGACCTTAATACTGTTCATCAGATCCCAAGGACACCTTCTTTCCTGGTTTGTACAGGCCCAGTGACAACTTAATCATCTATACAAAAGGGAGAAATGCCAAAGACAGAAACTAGTTCTTATTTCTATACTCCTGGGATGCAAGAGAACTCAAGTTCAATTACCTTCCAAGAGCACAGATAAGACTTTTAACCTTTGTGTCCACATTCTAGACAGAGAACAAGAGGCTTAAGGGCAGTACTGTTGCCCCCTCCCTGTTTTCAGTATTCCACATTCCAATGTCAAAATAGTAGTCACATATTGGTTAAAACATTGTTTCACTTTTAAGTGTTGACTGTCACAAAAACACAGCAATAATGAAAACGTATTATAGAGAAGGAAAGAAGAACGGCAGAAATTCCCAAATTAGACAAACTGCACATCCTTAATATTTGTACAAAAACACATATCAGACAGTTCCAAAAAACAGAACATCATGCCATTCCAACCTAACAAAGAAACCCTGTGATTCTTGCTATTAGAAGGGGTAATTGTAAGTGTGTTACAGAAATGTGGATTCTTTAAATTTTTCATTGCTTCACTGATTTACTGTTTTCTATGTTAGTGCAACCTCCATGGCCCTGCTCTTTAAATTGATATTTAGAATTCCTTTCCAAAAAAAAAGTAGAAAGCTAAATAGCAACAACACTACAAACATGAAGGAAATCTTGCTACCTTGTAGGACATCCTTCTCCGGAGCTGTTCTTACTTACTGTGCAATTAGTACGAAGCTGTTTATTCCGCTGGGTGTATTTTTGGTTCTGCAGTTAAATTACAATATGAGGCACTTCAGGCAAACTACATTCTTTCCAAACAGTCCTTATGAGATAACATGACCAAATATTCATGCACATGCTTAAAAACATCTCTACCATTGCAAAGCTCGTAGGTATGAAAAAGAATGTAACCAAGTTAGCAAAGCAACTCAGATAAGCAGAGCAGTGATGGTGACTCACCCGAGTTGGGGTCAGAATTGCCATCAGCTTCAGTCCTCTTGTCTGGTGAAGCCTGGTCGTAGAATTCGTCCTGCGGCTGAACCAGAGGGAGAGGGTGTGAGATCAGGGTTCCACCACCCACTGGCTCGTGGTCTCCCAGACCACTGTCACTGCAGCTTTCCTGGGAGCCATCAGGGAGGTGAAATGTAACACGGCGCTGGGACTACAAAGAAGAGCACAGGACACACTGATTAGTGCTCTTCTTTTCTGTTCTGTTCTCCTGACTAGTTTTTTTTTAAACTTTTGACATACAAATAGATCCCTAGCGATGCTTATGAGGCAATTACTATTATCATGTTTGCTTGTTTGTTTGTGGTTTTTTTTTTCATTTGGCTTGCTTTTAGATTGGAAGATGGCAGATGGGAGAGCCAAATTTCAGAGGTCTATACATGCTCATCGGTGAAGTATGCTTCGCATAAGAAATTGATCAGTAGAAAATTAGGTATATTTCTCATAATTTTAAAAACATTTTAAAAAAGCTCTCTCTGAGAAGCAAAAACGGTTGCAAACTATGTTATGAAAAACAAATGGCATCCGAAAATGAAATAAGTATATATTTCTGAGGTTCAAATCTGTTCTAAATGGAAAAGAAGAAGTCCACTAAGCTAAACAAACCCATAAAAATGGTTGTCATGTTTCAGGAATAGTAGCATATATAAATACCTATCTATAAGAATATTTATCTGATACCAGTTATCTACCTAAAATGGATAATTTAGATTGATAATATATCTGTGAAGTCACAGTGGTCAGCAAAGACTCACAGGATGCAATAACAGAATAGACAATTATCACTTCAGTAAGAGAAATAAAAATAAACAGCATATATTTTTTTCAAAAGAACACAGTGATTGAGAGGCAGAATTACACATTTTCCTGAACTTAAAAAAACCAAACAACTTGCAGTCATCTCCAAAGAAAAAAAAATCCTGCAGTGTACACTTAGATTAGTTAACCACTATTGATTTTGAACATCTGTCATCTGGAGAAATAATCTGACTTTTTGAATTGCAGCCACAGAGTGATACAGTGATTCCCCAAGAGCTTCAGAGCTGAAAACAGCGCTGCAAATTGTTTAGCAGGCGTGACTGTTGGATTCATGAAAGGAATATTACAGGTCTTCACGGATCAAAACACTACATCTTTGAAGGACTGGAAACAACTAGTTCAAGAGTATCTCAAGAGAGTGGTTAAATTAAGTTAAGCACATCTTCCCACAAAAATGAGTTTCAGCAGCTTCAGTGGTCTGGTTAGTTAGATTGGTTTAGGATAAAGGAGATTACAAAGTTTATCTTAAGCTTAATAACTGTTTAGTTTAGTGCTTACTTCCTATCAATATCAGTAATCTGAAACTTATAGGTTATATCTAAGCTAATGATTCAAGATTTCTATCTATAGAGCCAGAAGTGAAAGGAACATCAGGAAGCTACTACAACAGGTATCTTCCACTAGTTAACAATTTTTAAAGTAGTTAAAATCAGGTGCCTTGTATCTATCCTGAAAAAGTATCAGGTTCCAACTCCCCTGTTTTTTTTTACTCTCTTTAAATTTTTCTTCTAATGAGAAAAACCTCAAGTTAATAGTACTAACTGTATGTTTGCTTATTAAAAACTATTTGTTAATGGTAATTACTACTATTTTATATGATGATGAATATCATCTACTAGGCTTCTTTTTATTCATCTCCCTTGGGTGGACATAGTTGATTAAGTCAACTTTGGATTACTGTGTTATTCAGTATAGAAATAAATGTAATACTATTTGCTCTTGGCTGTGATTTTATAATTAGTATTTGGCTTTTAAGTTTTTTTTCTAGCTTTAGCATTAGAATCCAGATGTAGCAAACCAAATAGATCCTCTGAGTCATTGGGCTGTATTCATTTACATCAACAGAGACCCTAACTCTACATGTCACTAAAACAACTTTCACCTCACCTTTTGTTACTTTTTCTTACAACTTTTTCTTCCGGAACTACCACCCTAAACAATCTTTGTAATCATTAGCATGTTCTTTCCCTTCAATATGAGCAAAATGGAAATATAGCTAACTACACAACTCAAAACCTTCTCTTCCTGCATTTATTTTCAGAAATATAAATTTAGAGACCTGTTTTTCCAAACTAAGAATTTATGTTGCTAGTAAAATTAGTAAGATGCACACTGTGGTGGGACATCCCCCCCGTCCCTGCCCCAGGCTACACTACGATCTGAGGAAAGGAGATTACCTTCATTTGCTCTTAAACCTAAAAGACTCTAAGAGAAAATCTGAATGACTGAGAAAATAAAACCCTAAAATAAGGGAGGTGAGAAATTCAGTTTTAGGTTTTGCAAAATAATTAAACCCCTGTAATTAATGAACCATCTAAATAAACAAAAAAATACATAACTACAAAAATGTCTTGTTTCATGAGTTATGAAATAACTACATAACTACATAACATAAGTTATGTAGTAAAAATACTGATCCTGGATAACAAAACCTCCTCATACTAAACGAAATCTGCTCTGAATCTATACTGACAGACAGGAACCAGTCAGCCAGTAAAATGACACAGGCCTGACACTAATACTAGCAACTTCTTAGCTGATAGTGCTATAAATTTTTAAATCCATACTTTAAATGTTAAAAAACATATTGTCTTGGCTTTCTGAGCACCCATCAAGGTCTCCACAAATCATTATAAAGGATTATAAAAAAAATCTAAAGGTCATGTAAATAGTGATCCAGTTCCAGAGATGATGGACAGACAACATGCAGTCCATCAATAAACTTTAGATTAAGTTGTGCCTTCAAAACAATGAGGGGAACAACCCTTCTACAAAAGGAGACTCAAAGCAAACGCTTAAGCTTAGGCATATCACATAAATAGCAAGGAAAGACTGTCACTCCAAGTGAGTGCTAATGACAGAGCAAAGTGATGTGTGGCCACCGCCTCCGCTGCCCAGTCCAGAATCCTCCTGCCTGGCTGCTGGTGCCCAGCCTGAGGTCTCTGCCACTGTCTCCTTTGCACTAGCAATGCTGCTGCAGTCACCAAACTAAGCGTGTATCCCAGCCACACACATGGACACTGATTTGGCCACAGCTGCGGCTACACAGATGGCCTCAGACAAAGTGTTGCTCCCAGCAGTCCCCACGTTCAGGACTCACACCAAGTGCAGGCAGACAGGTTTCCTCCTCTTCTTGGGCTGGCAGAGGCAGAAGGTGCAGCACACACTCTAAACTGCCCAGGTTCACAAACACACACACCTTTACGGTTGTCCTGAGCACCAGCACTGCCCTTCTGCCTGCCCAACACCCCTGCCCAGATCCCAGCCTCCCTTACCCATCCCACAGGTCACCAGCTCACCAGCTGGTGCCACTGGGTCCTCACTGCACACATGCAGAACTCACATACTTGTCCCATCAGAAGACTGCACTTGTAGGTCTCCCCAAATATCAGCACAGCCCTTCTGCCTGCCTGATACGCCTGCCCAGACCTGGGACCTTCTACTCCCTGGCTGGTCCAGCTTGGAATTTGCCAGTGAATCCACATGCACACCCCATGCACACTTGATTTGGTAAGGTACAGAAACTCGCCCCCAGAAGCTGGCATTTGGCGCACGAGCTGTGATGCATGGTCCAGATCCAGCACCACGCCCCTCACTGAGGGTACACTGAATTTCTGGTCTCCATAACAGTAGAGACAGGGTCTCTTCTTTCAGAGGAAAATCCTACGACATACTTAGACTATGTTTGTGTTTATCTACTCCCTTGAGCAACCAAACACAGCTTTGAATTCTTTTTACCTAAAGACAGAAACAAGTTATTTTGAGTAATGAGGTTTATAGTCGGTACAACACTTGGACTAATGATAACAAGTAATTACAATTTCAATTATGCTACAACATATGCAGGATTATATACAGCATGAGGTAAGGTTATGGTTCAGGTCCCAACACTTGGCCAAAATTCAAATCTAAAGTCTATGACATATTGAATCATGAACAAATATTTTGGGGGGGAAATATGGATTTTCTTCAGGTCCTGAAAAAATCTAATCCTTATTTTTAATCAGCGAATATCACATCATTGTTATGAGAAATCCAAAACTGAAAGGAGAATTCAGTCAAAGCAATTTTAAGCTGTGCCAAAACTAGTTTCAATATATAATTCAGAACAATTGGACTCAATGGGTTTTTGAACCTGGGTTGAGTTTAAAATTCAGAAAAACAATTAGTACCAGTTACATGAAATCATTTTTCTTTTAATCACCTACAGCAGATTCTATAAAGCTCATCTAAGTGAGGCATGGCTTCACATCCACAGGAGATACAGAGAAGAATTAACTCTATCTCAGATGGTGATAAAGGATAGCAAACTGGTGTTAAAAGTAGGACAGTTCAAGCATTATTCGGAACACCTTTTTTTTCATGTTTTTGGACCACGTGGTCAGCCAGTCAATACTTTTTTTACACAGAACAATCAAAATTATATCAAATCAAAGACACATGAAACTGCTCTTGCTGCTTCTTTCCCGCTACAGCAAAGCCAAATATGTACCTAGCACTTGTAACAATTGTAATTCGTGGAATTACTGAATATAAATTATATCTGTGATACTTGAAAATGCCAATAAAAATAGCAACAAAAACACTTGTGTAGAGATGAGGAATGGATGGCAGAGGATGGGGATATTCTAACCTTACTGATCAAGTACAGAAAAGTAGAAGCTGTGTTTGGCATAGCGTATTGCATTTTTCTTCATTGCAATACTTTATTTAGAGATAATGAAAATATTTAAAAATATATTTGTGTTGAAGCTTATAATTTTTCCATCCACATACTCTTCTGTCCAATTTTTTCACTCTTTCTTGACATGAGGAATTCAATGATTACAAGTGACAGGGCAGGTAATAATGGGCACAAACTAACATAGGAGGTTCTGAACATCAGGAAACATTTTGTTACTGGGAGGATGACTGAGCACTGGCACAAGTGGTCTAGATAGGCTGTCTGGTCTCCCTCCTTGGGTATATTCAAAAGCCATCTGGACACAGTCCTGGACAAGCAGCTGTAATTATCCCCGTTTTATCAGGGGGTTGGACTAGACGGCCTCCAGATGCCCTGTCCAACATCAGCCAGTATTTGATTCTGTGATTCTATCAATTCTAACTGAAAATAAA